GTTGACCAGTATGTGCATCGGTACAGGCCAGGGCATGGCTGGTCTGTTTGTCAACGAGCAGGTCTAAAACAGACAGTGCATGTCTGAGATATTCTAATTATGTAACACCACCAGATCTCGATATAAGCGAGTCAGTTGGGGATGTATTTATGATTTCGAGCGATATTAGCAAATTGGAAAGCATAAAATCTTGTCTTTAATTAGATTTCGGAGTTAAGTTAACTAGTAAAACGATTCCGGAACGGGTAGTTGTCTCATCAAAGTGTATCAGCCAAGGGAATTGATAGCGTAATATCATGAACTTTGGTGGTGATAATCTTGTACCCTGTGGTTTTGCTGCTTGTGACGGGTTTGTTGTAAATCTTAGTAATGATAACCCAGAAGTAAGCTCCAAACATCTACGCACAGTGTATTGACTAACGTGTTCTTCGTGGATATTATTCTTCAAGAATTACTTTACGGCCGAAGTCGGGTTCCCGGCATCAGCTTCAACACCATAAACGTTAAAGCAGCAGGGATCGCTGAAAAACACGAGACCAGCCATTCGCTCACATTCCCCGAGAGGGCGGTGGGAAACCCCGCTAGAAGTCACCTGGGGCTAGCGCTCTGATGTCACCGAACAGCCTCAAAGCGCAGCCAGAAGTTGGGCTTGCGTAGGTGGCATTTGCCAACGGTTGCGTCTGATTGGCGGAGAAGCTTGGCTAGATCTGAGATTGATGGCGACTGGGATCCATAACTACCTAAGGAAAATGCTGATGATTGCACACAGAGAGTCAAGGGACCTGCCCTCGCTGATACCTTACACGGGAATGGAACCCTTGGACTTGCACTACCTACTTAGGTACTCGTGCTCCTCATCTTTTAGTCCTACCTTAGCGAGCCATGAGCTTTTGATCTTTTCTCTTTTGTTCCTCAATTTTTTTTGTCTTTCACCGCAAATTGATTTTGCATGATCGTCGACTATATAGATTCCATGCATCGGTCTTCATCGGCAGTCGCGTCCTCTCCGTCGCTTTTCTACCTAGTTAGTCGATTCTCATCTGCCGGTCTTTGTCGACTTGACTCTGTGCCAGAAACAGGAATTTCTCTCGAGCCAAGCTTGGGCATAACTTATTGAATACTTCGCTTGATATATGCAGTTCCCTAGACTTCAATTCCGAATTCAACCAAACTCCATTAAACTCAGACTGCGACTCGATCGAACTCCACAATCATGGCCAAACGACCTTCCCACAGTCGTACCAACTCCGGGATCGACCACCGTCCTACTCAGCCCAGTGCTCTCCGTCAAGCTCTGAGCGCTCATGATCGAAACGAGAGCGAAAGCCCGGCCGCAGAAGGTTCTACGACTCCCACGAGCATTCCGGTCGCATCGCCTCCAGATTCGCCAGGACATCCTCCCGGAGCTACAATACACGAGATCTTCGCAAACGAAACAACCCCTCTAATCGACGGGAACAACCAGCGTTCAAACACACGCCGAGGAAGTGTTCACCCTGCCCATCCTGGTGTCTGCAGCCATGGCACTTTCAGTCCGCGACCCATGAGTCCGACCTTGACTATGAGGAGCACCGACGAGGATGGTAGCGAGACTGCAGGCTCAGGCACGCACATTCCTGTGCTAGACAACGCAATCACGACAATCGTGGGCCACGAAGACTGGAAGAAGTGGCTGAAGAAGAGAATGCGAACAAAGACCATGGGCCATAGCAGTATGCTGGCTGAACAAGCTGGTTTCGAGGATACAGCATTCATGTAACTACTGCAGTCCCTACGGCCGTTAAATGATGTACTAACGTCTATCAGGTATCTTGCGTACTACGTCCCCTGCTTGAATTGGATGCGCCAGTACAAGGTTTCATATCTGCGTGGCGATCTTGTTGCGGCCATTACCATGGCTTCCTTCTACTTACCGATGGCCCTCTCCCTCGCTGCGAATCTCGCCCACGTCCCTCCGATTCACGGTCTCTACGCTTTCGTCTTTAACCCCTTCATCTACGCCCTTCTGGGGTCCTGTCCACAGATGGTAGTTGGCCCTGAAGCTGCCGGCTCCCTTCTTGTGGGAACTGTTGTAAAGCAGAATGTTGGTTCTGGAGAAGACGAAGACAATGATTTGTTGCATGCGCAAATCTGTGGAATTGTCGCTGGCATGGCGGGTGCTATGGTACTCATCGCTGGTCTTGCGCGATTGGGTTTCATGGACAGCGTTCTCAGCAGGCCTTTTCTCCGCGGGTTCATCAGCGCGATCGGTTTCGTCATTGCCGTTGACCAGTTGATTCCTGAGTTAGGACTCGCTGAACTGGCTGACGATGCTGGCGTCAGCCACGGCAGCCCCGTTGAGAAGATTAGGTTTATGATTAACAACATTCACGAAGCGCATGGTTTGACATTTGCCATCGCCGGAATTAGCTTCATGGTCATCATGATCTGCCGGTAAGTGGCGCTTTGTGGCTTCCTTTCTGATGCTATTCTGACTATGCTTTTAGTGAACTCAAGAATCGCCTTCAGCCTCGGTATCCTGGCGTTGCCTATGTCCCGGATCGTTTCGTGGTCGTTGTTGTATCTGCAATTCTTTGCTGGCGCCTCGATTGGGAGAACCAGGGAGTTGAGATTCTGGGCACAGTCAAGGCCGCCAACGGCCAGCTTCTTGCCTTCCAATGGCCCTTCAAGCTCGAGCATATGCCGCATATTCGAAGTGCCATGGCCACATCCTTCCTCATTGCACTTCTTGGATTTTTCGAATCCTCGGTAGCTGCAAAGAGTTTGGGCTCAAGTGAGACTATCCAGGGAATCCAGCTGAGTGCCAACAGAGAAATGATTGCGCTGGGTATCGCCAATATGGTTGGTGGATGTTTTATGAGTCTCCCAGCTTTTGGCGGATATGGACGAAGCAAGGTGAATAAGAGCACCGGAGGCAAGAGTCCCGCCAGTTCCATGTTTCTGAGCATCATCTCTCTGCTATCCATCTTCTTCCTTCTCCCCTACTTTTATTACCTGCCAGTGAGTACCCTATGAAACCTATGTGTGACACATGGGCTAACATCACTTAGAAACCTGTCCTATCAGCAATGATCTCTGTCGTCGCCTACTCGTTGATAGAAGAGGCGCCCCATGACATTGGCTTCTTCTTGAAGATCCGTGGCTGGACTGAGCTGGGTCTTATGGCTGTTATCTTCCTTGCAACCATGTTCTACTCTCTCACACTTGGTATGGCATTCGGTGTAGGATTGTCGATGCTCATGGTTATCAAGCATAGTACGCGACCACGCATCCAGATCCTGGGTCGAATTCCGGGGACAAATCGATTTGAGAATGCTGAAGGTGACAAGGCGAGTCTTGAATTTGTTGAGGGTTGTCTCATCGTCAAGATCCCAGAGCCTTTGACTTTCGCCAATACAGGAGAGCTCAAGTCCCGACTTCGTCGGCTGGAGCTCTATGGCACATCGAAAGCACACCCTGCTCTGCCTCGCCTTCGCAGTACCGACATGAACAGAAACGTCATCTTTGATATCCACGGTGTAACCTCCATGGATGGATCTGGTACGCAGGTTCTGACTGAGATCGTACGCAACTACCACGACCGAGGAGTGCGGGTGTACTTTTCTCGATGCCCAGCTCGCAAGGATCACCCTGTATGGCGATTGATGTCAAGCAGTGGCATTGTGGAAATGGCTGGCGAAAGACACTTTGTAAATGACGTGGAAGAGGCATTGCGTTTGACAGAGTACGAAGAAAGCATTGCTGGCGAATCGAGCCGGGCACAAGAGCTCTAGAGAATTAGAAAGACGAAAAGGGAGAAAATAGTGTTTTTGAGGGAGGGGATCGTGATGCAGCGTCTGGGCTCGAGCGTTGTTGATGCTTTGGAGGAGATACCATTGCAGGAGTTTTTATAGCACAGATTGAGATTATCATTAGAGCCAGCGTTAACTTAACAATGCTACACACAAAAGCAAATATATATTGGTAGTTCCAGGGGTAAAACTTTGGGTTCGTCCTTTACTATATACTCTGTGCTCATCCTCCGTGATCCATGTTGAAGCTATCATGATACCATACAACAGGCCATAATGTTTTCGAAAATGTATTACAAGCGAGCTAGCAACAATTGAGGAAGACCACAAACCCCTCATCTATCATGCAGTCACCTCATGGCGAAGTCTCACATATCGGATTTTTGGACCAATGTGTGTTGGTGGTCCGCATAACTGCATCACTGCTCCCATGACGGCAATGCCAGAAGGGACAGATTCGCGAATAGCAGAATTGAGGCATGATTGCAGTTGCATCAGACACGAGTGGAAACACAGAAAACTCAATGACTGTAGGGCAAAAAGCATACCCCAGGCGACTTTAATACAATCACCAGCCGAAGCCCCGGGTAGTGAAGAGTGAGCAAAGGCTCGACCACTCAGGGATAGCAGAGAGCAGGGATTTTGACGATCATGAGCCGTTGAGGAAAGCCAAAGTCAAGATCCATGTCGTGTAAATGGAGAACAACTCGAGGCGAAGTAAAATACGTCCGCAATTTGGAGGTTTTGTGTAATACCGTGGTCTCTGACGAATTGGCGTGGCAGATGAGAAAGGGACAGGGCCTTGATGTCTCATGCATACAACCTCGCCTACCGAGGCATTTAGATCATGACTTATGATGTGACGAAATTCCGAGGGTCAATAAGAGGTATTATATATCTCTTCGTTCTCCCCACGGCCCTGTCGACTTGATCCCTCGATGTCATTTTCCTTTTCCCGACCCATCTCTGCAAGCTTCAGAATCGAAGAAACTCAGTGTCGAATCGATCTTGAATTCTGAATAACTAACACAAAGTGGACTCCACATCGCCAACGTCACCACGGCAGACAATGATGAGCAGAGGCAAAACTCACTGTCACAAACCGGTCTGGCACCTATAGAATATGTATGTTGATCCTTTCAATTACAAGATCGTTGCAAACCGTCGGGCATGTCGTTGACTCGATAGGATCCTCAAGTTGTTGGTAGCATGGATGATGACAATTCGACTATCAGCACTGGGAGGTAAGCTGTTTACTTGTGTTGTATATGCCATACAATGACGGCAATTCTCATTGTATTACCGACAGCCTTCGAGATTCGACAGCGTCCCTCACATCGAGCATCCTCGAATACAGACACATTAACGGCCGGCCCTTCTAACAGTCGAAAACAACAGAATACTGTACGTTAAGCTTATTCCTTAACAAAACTGCCAAGTAAGCGATCTGATCATATCCAGGGCGCCTACTGATGATGATTATCAAGAGGGCCAGGATATGCTGTAAGGCACCTCGCTCGCTGAAGAGTTGGAACATGCAATAACCTTCATCTTGAAGACATCACTATACACTGCTGCTATTCGACGATAAGCTCCACCTAGCCCCCATTGACAAGAATCCTCAGGTATGAACATAGGGAGACCAGATGCAACGAGGTTAATTCCACTTAGAAAATCCTCGACATTGGTACCGGGACTGGAATATGGGCCATGTAAAACCCCCTTCGGCTATTTGAAATCGGATCTCTAACAAATCCAGTGACATGGCCGATGAGTACCCGTCTGCCGAAGTACTTGGAACAGACATTTCAGCCGTCCAGCCTGCATTCGCGCCTCTAAACTGCAGCTTTCAAATCGAGGATGCCCAACTCGACTGGACATTCAAGCCCGATGAGTTTGACTTCATCCATATCCGGTATCTTTACGGTGCGATTGACGACTGGAAGAAACTATACCGTCAAGCGTTTGCCCACGTACGACCAGGGGGTTGGGTCGAGAGTCTTGAGATCGACATTGAAACACACAGCGAGAACCCCAGGATCGAGAAGGACGAAGGACACATTTTCAAGAAATGGTGCAAACTATTCTTTGAATGCGGCCGTCAAACTGGTCGAACTTGGGAGATTGCACGGGATGGCCGTCAGGAGGAGTATATGCGAGAAGCAGGATTTACAGATCTATTTTCTAAATCGTGGAAGCTCCCAGTTGGAGGCTGGCCTCAAGATAAGAAGCTGAAGCAGATTGGTCTTTATAATGGGGCTTTTATTGACCACTCTATCGATGCTTTTGCCATCTTCCCAATCGGAGAGATCCTAGGTTGGTCGGAAGAGGAGGTTACGATTTTGGTCAGCCAGATGCGAAAGGCACTCAAGGAGCCAAGAGCACTGCCCTATTTCAATGCGTGAGTTTGATGCTTACTTTGTCGAGAGTTCATTGCAACTAACATGGAGAAAGTCGTATGGTCTATGGTCGAAAGCCTGAAAGTACTCCCAAGACTGCTTGATACATGGATTTATATGGTTAATGTGACCAAGCCTGGCTATAAGTTATTTCAGTACTACTAAAGTTTATGACGACTTACTTCCCTTGTATGTGTCAAGTCTCTCTGAGCTTGACGCAAAGTCTCGTTTAAGGACTACATCGTACAAAAGTCCAGATAACCCTAGGGGCACCCACGATCTTCAACTTGCTGGAGACAGGAACACTCAGTTTCTGTGCCAAGACTACTACTGTGTAGCAATGAAACGTCGAAATCAGTAGCTTTACATCTATAGTAAGGGGCTTCCATCGAAAATAGCTGCTCATGTATTATCATCTACCATGAATATTGCGTGTTCGCCGACAGCCGCATCATGTGGTGATTGATATTGATATCCACTTGCCGGAGCAACTGTGGCGTTGGGCCAAGACCAAGAAGGCCCATCTGATAGATCCAAACGGCTCGATAATTCGGGGAGTTGACCATATCATATGACCCCATCCATCCATAGCTTCTCCAGTCAAGGCGCCTTGACCAAGGCCAGGTATCTGCAACTCCCCGTCGCGTCAAGAACCACAAGAACACTACATGTTGAGACTCTTTCGGACCCTCGACCACAAAGATTATAGAGTCGCAACAGTGCCGACAGTCCGGAGTCACCGAGCCCTACAACAGTATGGAAACCACTGCTCATCCCCTGGTTCCCCACGGCATACTCATCCTAGACAGGCATTGCGACCTCTCAAATCAGGGCTCCGACTTGCCTCCATCCACTCGCTGCTCAAAGAATGTCGGTGCCTGGTTCTGAATCGCGGGCCCTAGCAAAAGACGTCATGAGCTAGCAAGACCGGGCTGTTGGCTTGGCGTTGTAACATTTCCTTTGGGGATGTCTTTGTGGTTCGATTTACCAGTCATATTCTTCTGATTCGACACCATCAAGGCCCAAATAGGCAGGCAAATTGTTATAAAATATGAGACAGCGTATGTATTCATATCTCTCAATGCGGGTCAAAGTTTACACAATATGGGCTTGTTCTGACGAGCTCAACTATCTTAGACTCATTTTTACATTGATTTTCTTGTTAGTAAAATACAAGGGGAAAATAGTGTTGATGATACGTGACAGTCAAAGCGGAAGTCATGGAGCCATATGGATGGGTGGAGGTTATCTCCTACGTAAAACCAGTTAATTCCCCGAGACGAGACCCAACTTTGATTAGTGAGTGCCTTTCGCTTTTAGACCGTTTAAACCGTTATCATCCAGCCTCTCCCCCACGCCTCTCGATCCTTTCTATCCAATGTTACCACAAGTGACGTACTTGGGCACGGGGTTGCCGTAAAAACCTGTGACATGCTGTACATCTACATGTATCACCTCGCATGAGCCTCCAGCTGAAGCTTTTCTTCATCCTTTCCTTGCGTGCGTTTGGCCAAGAGAAAAGTGGTTGGTGCCGTCTTACCCTCCGATGCCAAGACACGAGGCACTGGGACCCTCGAGACGTTTGAAACCCGGAAATAAGCGTTCAAGGTCAAGTTTGTGTTATGCTTAATTTTAACCTCATCTAGTCAATTGTGGCTCTCAGCAACACTCAACTCTAGCAATATGTCAACCTCACAAAAGAAGGGAACAAAGTCTCTACAGTCGGGAATTAACAATGTTCGTCTGCTGGCTATCATCTTGCAGCAGAGACATAGGTCAGCATCATCCTCCCACGACCACGGCCCCAACGCGCCAAGTCTCTGGGCACCTTGGCAGCGGAGTCTTGTTCGTAGACTCGTTTCTTGTCATACGAAGCCAAGCATTTCAATGGAGTCGGCCAAGTCGATCTTGTCCCCGGCAGCAAGTAGCAAATCCAACAGCTCCCCGTCTTGGAGGGAACTGAGGCGATCCTCTAATAACTAGTCCTTGTAAAAATGTAGACTCTTGGCTCGTCCCTGATTTTATGGAGGAAATATCTGCAATAAAAGACGGGTCGTCCGCTCGTGGATCCTTCCCTGGTGAAATAAACAGTTCCAGAGTCTCGGGTTTCTAGACATTTCAGTGAAATCAGTGTCCCCGAGTTTTCTTATGTGAAAAGCTCACTCCTTGTGGAACTCTCACCCTATGACTACCGAAACTTGATACTTAAGACGACTCCGCCGAATAAGTTCCTCTCCCCATCACCCTCAAACGTATCAACTTCACCATGGCGATCCCACCAATTCTCAAAAAGATCGGCCAAAAGCTCTCACCTCCACCATCAACATCCGAAGATGGCCGTGATCAATGGAATTCGAGAGCTTCCTTCTTACTAGCGGCCATGGGAGGCTGCGCTGGTATGGGGAACCTAATTCGGTACCCTTCACAGGTGTACAACAACAACGGCCTCCAGTGGTTTATTCCATATCTCATGTGTGTTTTCCTGATAGCCATCCCGGCCTTGATTCTCGAAGTCAGTATTGGTCAAGCGTACCGTGGAGGGTCTGTCGTCGCTTTCAACAACATCAACCACCGTCTCAAAGGTCTCGGCTTCAGTCTTTTATACATTGGTTTTATGGTCAGTCCGTACTTCGTCGTCAATCTTTCCTGGATCATGATCTACTTCCGGAACTCGTTCCAGAGTCCTCTGCCATGGGAGGGACGTGCTGAGGAATACTACTACCAAGACGTAGTGCAGAATGTCGATGCGATTCCCGGTAACAAGACGTCGAGTGGTGTTATAGACTACGTCAAATATCCTGGCACTGCCCTTATTGGAGAGACTGTTGGATGGACTGCATTCGTTTGGTTCCTCGTATGGATTTCCATCTTCCGCGGTATTGGACAGACAGGTCGTGTTGTCTACTTCACCATGGGTCTACCTGTTGTCTTGACTATCATCCTTGTCGGCCGGTCTGTTTCACTTCCAAACGCTGGTCGCGGCGTAAAGCTGTATTTTGGAGAGTGGAACGGCGAGAAACTGGGATCCGGTGACATTTGGCAGACTGCAGCTGGCCAGGTCTTCTTCTCAACTGGTGTCGGTTTTGGCTATTTCAGTTCTTATGCCTCTTACAATCAGAAGCATGCCAATGCTGTCATGGACTCATGTCTCATTGTTGGCAGCAATGTCCTCTTTGAGGGGTTCGCCGCCTTCGCTGCGTTCGGAGTTGTTGGATACCTGGATATGATGCCTGTTCCCGGCGAACGGATTGGTGCCTTCACCATTGGATTTTTGACGTTGCCAACAGCCATCACTCAGCTTCCTGGATCATCGTTCTGGGCCTTTGCACTCTTCTTTACCTTGGTGGTCCTGGGTTATAGCTCTGCATTTGCCATGGTGGATGCCGTGGTAACGCTTGTCATGGATACCAAACCCAAAATTCGTCGTGAGTGGGTAGTCACAGGTCTTGTAATTATCTCATTCCTTATTTCACTCCCTTTCTGCACCCAATTCGGATATGCTCTTCTCACAGGAGTTGACCGTTGGATCAACGATGTTGCTCTAGTCTTCGTTGTGTTTGGCGAATGTGCATTCTCCACAACTTTCTACCGTTGGAGAGACGTAGCAGGACAAGTAGGAAAGCCAGCCTTTTTCATCTGGAACTTTGGATACTTTGGCGGTATGGTTCTCGGAGTTGCTGTTGCCCATGCGGTTCAAGCTGAAGCGGGTGCTGGAGTTGGCTTTGGTATCTTCATCATCTGCTCGATCGTCTCCTGTGTAATTGGCAAGACTCCTGACGAACTTCCGCCTGCCTTGACCTTTACCGAGGACAAGGGGTTTGCTCGCCGATTCATCGGCAGAAGTCATGCCTTATCAAAACTCTTGGACAACGTCTTCATGACACGCTTCTGGTACATGGCCTTTTACTCTGTAAGTTCTTTCATCCGGCTTGTTGTGTGCAACTACTAACAGCACTCATCAGGGCCAGCAACTTCGACGGGATCTCAACGTGATTGTCGCAACTGGAAAGAACTGGAGTATTCCCGTCTTTTGGCCAATCCTCCTACGCTTCATCTCGGCGCCTGTGCTCGCCATTATCTACGGCTTTGCCTATCCCGCTTTCTACGAGCTCCGTGATGACCCTCTACATATTCTTGGCTTCGGTCTTGCCCATATCTGCTTGGTACTGATCGGACTGGGAGTCCTCGTGCCCCGCTGGTACAACACGATTATCCCTCCTGACCGACGCGAGGAGGGCAAGCTGCCGTATGCTCCCAATGTTCTTTTGGATGGCGAGGAGCCTCGAAGAACTGAGTCGATGGAGACTGGCGAAGGACTTGCAGGCTCTGAAGGCGGTGAAAGCGAAGAAAAGAAGGGACAGAGTGTGATGTAGTTCTGGCGTGAGAGTGAACGAGAGTTCATATTGGATTTGTTGCATACACGAGGGAAGGCAAAAGGCTTGCCCCAAGTATCTCATACATACTGTAGTCAGGTCTCCTCAAAGGACTTTGATGTCTGCTGCTTCGTCTGTGCATCAAGTGAAAATGCCGAGCATTGAGAGTCGTAAAAGGCCTGCTTGCGCTGGCTCCAAGTCGACACAAACGGTGGCTGCCATTAAGGAAACGGGATCGTCACCGTTCAGATGCTGCATGCGAACTGTTCGTGTTGAAGTTGAAGATCTCATGCTCCAACGAAGATTGTAGTGGGGGATCAGACCCAGAAGGAACAATACGAGCTACGAGAAAGGGAATGGAAACTGCGGAGTCTCCGCTTCGCAAGATGTTTCAGCGAAACGACGTCATTGACACTTTTTTGTCTGAAACATGTACACTTTCTAGGAAGGTGGGAAGAGGCTGTTTCCCAGAGATCGTCGTGCACTCTAGCCAATCAGCATTTCTTGGCCGGACTCTGGCCTAAGATGCCTTTATCTCTCATCCAATTGTTTCCTCAGCCCATACTCACGTTTATATCTAAGCTTAAGCCGGTCAAACCTCCGTCTTTCTTGTGTGCCGTTGTCAAGATAAAACAAGCCACCGACGCATGGTCCACCAGCATTCCTGTTTAATGATTCTGCAAGTCACATCATGCAGGAATTATTCTCACTTCCGCAAATTTACGGATAGA